GCTGATGTATAGGCAAAAAGTGGCAGAATACATGCAAAGACATACTCTACCACTACAATATTGAAGATGCTTTTTGGTACAACGCGAAAAGACGTAGGCGCAATGGAAAATGCTAGTGATTTAGCACCAGTTTTGTTCATATGCAAATTAAATTAAGTAGGGTTGCATTTTTCAAGATGCAAATGAAAAACGAGCGCACGTCACTACATCAGTGTGAATTCTAGCAGTCCATGAACGCTTCTTTTAAACACTATGTAGAATATAACTACAGCTTCCAAGTGTCAACAACTGAAGCAGATTCATCTCCAATCGATTTCAAGTACTGCTGCTAAAGTCTGAATCGCTTATAAACACTAAGAACGATTCAAATGAAGAACAGCCCGCAACAATGGCTGAGAAAACCGACATATCACGTAACATGATTTCGCAGCTGCTGAAAGAATCGCGTGTAGTAAGAAATCGGAAATCTTTCTACATTTGCTCTGAGACGTAAATTATTAGGAATTAATTCGAAATAAACCCAGCAATTCAATATAGTCATCTAGTGTTGTGCAAGAAAGTCACGCAGAGGCTTTACACAAAATGAAGCGCTTCAACGTTTGCTCGCAAGTGGTTACATATATGCATAGCACGTAAAGATAACAAAATTACAGCTGTGCAGAGGTAACAATGCACACATGGAGGAAGGAAGCAAGTTCCCCCTTTTGACGCCACTGCCGTTCACTGCCGCAAAATGTAATTGCATAAATTAATCATATTTTAGCCACTGAATAATAAACGGCATAAGTGATGTACAAATAAATTTTATTCCGAATTGTTCAGTACCAGTTTGACGTCAGGAGCACAGTTGGACGTCAGGGGCTAATTATTTTGTGAATTATGATTTATGAAGCTTTTCAAACTGCTCAGATGCTTCTTTAAAACATTCGCTTGTTTGGTCTTAAATTCAAAAGAAATGGTTATTTATTTAAAAATACGTAATTTATTCATTTTTATTTTGAAATAGATTTGAAACAATAGAAGACAGCCACTAAGCACTGCTACGCAACAGCTAAATAATATGAAAACCACACATACCTGCAGAAACATTCGTGCACCACGGCAAAATTACCATCGCCAATTACGCGACCCAACCGATACTGTTCCGTCAGTTCGCGTGGCAGCTCAGGATCTGAAGAAAGGTAAACTAGTACAGTAGTAATCATTAATTACTAATACGTACCACATTAATGTTGCAACATAAAACTAATATGAAACTAAAATATTACTAATAACAATATTTAAAATAGTAAACATGTATCGAAAAAATTACTTACTCGACTAACAAAAACTAAAGGGACAGTACTGACATTAAGTGGGTT